CTGTTTCTCCTCTGCCTCAGACTCCTAGTTACAGTATACATACAGTCTGATTAGTAAACAGTCCCTGCTCTACTTGTTTCTCCTCTGCCTCGAACTCCTAGGTACAGTATACATACAGTCTGATTAGTAAACAGTCCCTTCTCATCCCCTTCCTACTCAGCCTCAGACTCCTAGGTACTTTATATATAAAATCTACTGTCTCAGTAATGCAGATTTGTCTGTTGTCTTATTAGACTCCTATTATAATACAGCTGATTGTATTTATAGTGAATCTTTTTAAAAGTATTACGTGAACCTCACTGTTAAAAACCAATTTTCTTTCAATTTCAATATAACAAAATATATATATATCAATTTCAATATGACAAATTTAAACATAGACATGAACAAAATGCATTCCCAGTGCTGAGAACAATTACATAAATAGTAATGATTTGAAGTGAAAAATCAGTTTCATTGGAAATGTACAAACGTTTTTTTGTGTGAATGTTATGAGTTTTTCACTTCAGAGCAAGTGGTAGTGTTTAACATCGGATACGTGCCGTCCAAGTACTACGAGGTGTTTGGTAATAAGGACTATGAAGGATTTGTACATGAAACATTCCTCGCCTTGCTGTTGATCATCTCAGAATCATTGGTAAGTTGATACAGTTTATTTGTCATGTTTCTGTAAATGTAATGGGCCTATATTACATACATGTACATGTGGAGGTATATTAAGATAACTCGGAGATTTCCTATAATGATAGTACATCCGGATAGATGAATTGTATAACTGTTTTTGTTTCAGATAAAGAGTACTATAACCTTTGTTGGGTCCATTTTATACATCCTTTTGCGAGGTTTGCTTACCAAGAGGATACATCAGAAGTACTTTAAAGATTATTTGTACTATAAAATCAATGTTCTCAGCTCTACAGACAATCCGTAAGTTTTTAAGGTTTCTCATATACTTTGTCAGCTTTATCAATTTTTTGAGCATAATTGGTGACAAAATCAGAGTCGTGATTTAGTAAATATTGAAATAAGATTTCTTTTCAACTTCATGTAACATTTCAACCAAAATGCAGCGAAGTTCTATGTGATATATGGCATTAAATGTCTTTACTGTTGAGGATCAATGTCTATCATAGAATGTTATTTATCAAATTTGTAAATATCCCTCATAATCATATTTTTTCTGTTCACCTTTAAATAAAGGGGAATTCATTACTGCAAAAGAGACTAACCAAATTTCTTCTCTTACAAAATACTTTAATTCAATGGAAATATGGGAGAAATTTCACTGAAGGAAATGTTTAGATGTTTATTTTATACAGTCTCTGGCCAATGTAGACAACTTTACATTCCTATATTATGGTTGACAGATGGGCTACCTTTTTCTGTTACCTCATTCCTAGTTCAAATATGAAACAAGAATGTGGTTACTTATTCCCAATTCAACTGTTATGATTAAATGAAAACCAAAATTTCCAATCTCAACTGACAACTGACAACTGACATCTGAGGTCTTGTGGTCAAAGGTCACAGGTAAATTTTGTTACTGAAATCGCTAAATATTTCAGAAACGGTAGGTATTTTGTATACATGTACAATGTATGCATTGAAATATTGTAGGCTTAAATGAAAGCTACTCTAATGACAAACGTCCAAGGTCTTGGGGGCCAAAGGTCAAAGATGAATTACGTTACTGAAATGGCTAATTATCTTGTAAACAGTAGGTATTTTTTATGTACACACATTGGAATATTGAAGGCATTAATGCAATCAACTCTACTGACACCTTCCAAGGTCATGGGGTCAGAAGTCAAAGGTCACAGATGAATTACGTTACTGAAATGGCTAATTGTCTCGTAATTGGTAGGTATTTTGTATGTACATGTACATGGAATATTGTAGGCATTAATGCAAGCTACTCTACTGACAGACTCCCAAGATCATGGGGTCAGGGGTCAAAGGTCACAGATAAATCACATTATGAAATGGCTAATTATCTCAGAAACAGTAGGTATTTTGTAAACACATATTGGAATATTTTAGGTATTAATGCAAGCTACTATACTCTTAGGGCAACTTCCGAGGTCATGAGGTCAAAGGTTACAGATGCATTATGTTACTGAAATGGCTAATTATCTCAGAAATGGTAGGTATTTTGTATGCACATACCTTGGAGTATATGTGTAGCATGGATGCAAGCTACATTGTGACAAAATTCTAAGGTCATGGGGTCAAAGGTCACAGTAGAGATCCATACCGGTATAAAAAAATATGTTTAAAACTTTGATATTCATGACAGTCAGTCCATTTTGTTGTAAAAACTTGTAATCTTAGAAGTATTTTCACATTTTATATATATTGCGTGTTACATATCCAGGTCACATAATGAACCATGTTTTATCTTTTTCAGTGACCAGCGTATTACTCAGGATGTTGAGCGACTTTGTTTTTACTTCAGTGAAATATTGTCACCTCTAGTTATCTCCCCTTTCACAATAGGGTATTATATCTATCAATGTATACAAAAGTAAGTATTCATCATTTTAAGAGCAACATATGTTATGTAGTGAATGAACAAAACTGCTGAAATAATTAAAACACCTATATAATAGGTACTGTGCTTATGCATTTTTATCTGTAAGAAACACTACACAGTACTGAGGTCAGTCACATGTGTTTGAAAATATCACAACAAAAGTTGAAGCAAATAAATCTTCTTTATTGAATTTCATATGCATTGCCAGACTAGAGAATTACTATTTATCAATATTTATCAATATCACCAGAAAGTTTAGATAATATGTACAGCTGTGTGATGTTTCAATGATTTAAGTGTTTAACTTGTTTCCATTAGAACAAGATATTTAGATCCTGTGAACAGTTGTGTGATATTTTAATCATTAAAATATTTTAACTTGTTTCCATTAGAACAGGATACTTAGGTCCAGTGGGAGTCCTAGGCTTCTTCCTGGTAGGAACAGTGTTCAACAAGTTGTTAATGTCCCCAGTTGTTGACTATGTATTTAGGAGGGAGAAGATGGAGGGCAATTTTAGGTAAGTAATATGTCTCACATGATGTTTCATTCAATACGTCACATGATGTATTAAAGAGTGTGTCACTTGTTGTAACAGCTGTTATCAGATGTGTCACATGTTGTGTTATTCAATATGCCACATGATGTAGACACTAAACAGTGATTCACATGATGTACTGTCACATGATATGTCAGATGGAGTGTCACATGAGGTATGAGTGTGTCACATGATGTATCAGATGTAGTGT